AGCAAGAGGAGGACAGCAGAAATTCAGACTGGAAATTGTAAAAGACTGAAGCAATTCTTTAAAGGTGCAAGAAGGTTGCTGTAGTGACAAACCAAATATCACAGTATGATTCAGTACCACTGAGTCCAACATAAAGGTAAAGAACTTGTTTCAATAAAAGCATTGGGAATTGCAAAGTAGATTTCATTTTTGACTTGAAGTTGAAAAAAGCTAAGATTCATCTAGGTCCAGGTCTTAGGTAAATCCCATCCTTCAAAACGAGTTTACTAAAGGCAACATATAAATGATGGAGAAGAAAGCTAGCTTAGAGCCATATCATACACACAAAATATCATGTTGGTACAAAAAGAGATTCAATTTGAGGCCATATAGTGTTGATAATCTGATTAGCAAAAAAAGACCATGAGCAATGCCATGGAGCTAAACTGGGAGAGAAGATACCCATACAGAAGAAGGATGAAGTGGCCAATAGTGTGAAGGACATAGAACAATAAAAAATATTTAACAATTGCCATCGTATTCTTGTTATTTGGATAGGGGAGAATGTCAAAATAATTGATGCAATATATTTGTACAGCAATAACATGTTTCAAAACTGCAGGAAGTAAGGAAAGGTTAAAGATCAAGCAGTGGCTGGACAGGTTATGAAGTTTTTCAGTAGGCAGAGACAATGAGCAGTAGCTTTGAACAACAATTTTTATTTATGCAGTAATACTGCAAGATATTCACACACATGGAGCCTTAGTACTTATCTTCAGTAAAGTGTTTAAAAGGGTAAATGATGAAGAGCTTTTGGAGAGATATGAACATCTCAAAACCCCATTGGTCCTGATTCATAACATCACAATGAAATGACAAAAGGAGGAAAAATAGGCCACCAAGACCAACTACATAATTGTCATTGTTCACAGCAAATTCATCTATGCTCAGACAAAAAGATATTCTTCACTTAAATTAGCATCGTTACAATTACTGCATAACCACCAAACTAAAAAAGTAACTGTTTATATAAACAGTTTCAATACCATCTAAATGAATGGCATATGAAGAGAAATTTATAGAACTTTTCAGCAAGTCAGACAGCATCTACAGAAAGAGAAACAGAGTTAATGGTGCAGATATTCTGAGGTCAAATAGTCTTTGGATCTTCTGCATCACCCTAAGACACAACCTGACTGGACTCAGCAACATTCCCCAACTGGACCACAATGGACCCAGCTCCCATCTCCGGAACCTGGAGACCACCTTCAACCTTCCCAAAACACACTTCTCGCCACCTTAATCTCTCCCTCAACCAGCTAGCACCCTATCTTCAATCAACTATCTGGCACCCAACCAAATCACCTCCCCCAACTGCCAACCTATCACCACACCCTACTCACCTGCTGTCCTCTGAAGATGTCAAGATGCCAACCCTCAGCCAATTCAATTCACCCCACTTTATCAAGAAAAATTCCAGGCACTGGATACTGCAAAACCAATGTGAAAACATTCCAGCAGTACTATTGAAGACTTGTACTCCAGAACAAGCCACACCCTTTCTAGTGCAGCTACAACACAAGCATCTACAAAAGCCATGTTCAAGATTGCTCAATTGTTCTGTACACAAAAAGTAGGTCAAATCCACCCTGACCAATTACAGTCTCATTAGTCTACTCTTGATCATCAATCAAGTGAACAAGGAGTCACTCACAATGCTATAAAGCAGCAATTGTTTAGTAAAAACATATTGACTGATATTCAGTTTGGTTTCTGTCAGAGGCACTCAGCTCCTGATCCCACTACAACCTTCGTTTGAAAGTGCTGAACTCCAGAGGTGAAGTGAGAGTAACTGCCCTTGACATCAAGGCTGCATTCAACCTAGTGAGGTATCAAGGAGCCCTGGCAAAACTAGTCAATGAGAATCAAGGGAAAACTCTCTGCTGGTTGGAGTCATATCTTTGCTGTTGGAGATCAGTCATCTCAGCCCTAAGATGTCACTTTCCTCGGGGTAGTGTTCCAGGTCAAGCATCTCCTGCTGTTTTATCATAGTCCTTCCCTTGACCTTAAGGTCACATAATTTCACAATGTTCAGCATCATTTGTGACTCCTTAGATAATGAAGTAGTCTAATTCCAAATGCAGCAAGATCTGGACAATATCCAGACCTGAGTTGACAACTGACAGGTACTATTCATGCCATACAAATGCCAAGCGATGAACTGCTCCAACAAAAGAGAATCCAACTATCACCTGTTGACATTCAATGACATGACCATCATTGAATCCTCCTCCAACCACATCCTGGGGATTACCGTTGACCAGAAACTACTGAACCAGCTAAATAAATACTGTGGCTACCAGAACAGGTCAGGGGCTAGGAATTTTGCAGCAATTAACACACTTCCTGACGTCCACAGCCTGTCCACCATCTACAAGGTACAACTCAGAAGTGTCATGGAATGCTCCAACTTGCCTGGATGGTACAGCTCTAACAGCTCAAGAAGCCTGATTGGCACCACTTCCAAAACATTCACTTCCTGCACCACCAACGCTCAGTCACAGTAGCAAGTACTATCTACAGGATGCAGTGCAGAAATTTATCGAAGAACCTTTTACAGCACTTTCCAAACCCATGACCTCTACCATCTAGTAGGACAAGGGCGGTGGCTATGTGGAAGCAGCACCAGCTACGGGTACCTCTCCAAGCAACTTAACATCCTATCTTGAAAATATATTGTCTTCCTTCAATGTCACTGGGTCAAATCCTGGAACTCCCTCCTTTACAGCATTGTGGGTATTCCTATTGCATTTATCTCCCTAACTGCCAATTGGACCTACATGTTAACTTAAGAGAATTCTGAACTAGTACTACAAAATCCTTTTTGCCTCAGATTTCTAAACCTTTCCCCATTTGCAAAATAGTCTACACCTCTAAACTTCCCACCAAAGTATATAACCTCACTCTTGCCTACGTTGTATTCCATCTGTCACTTCTTTGCCCGCTCTCCTAGCCTGTCCAAGTACTTCTGCAGCCTCCCTGCCTCCTCAACATTACCTGTCCCTCCACCTATCTTTGTGTCATCTGCAAACTTAGCAACAATGCCCTCAGTTCCTTCATCCAAATGGTTAATATATAATGTGAATAGTTGTGGTTCCAACACTGACTCCTGCAGAACTCCAGTAGTCACCAGCTGCCATCCTGAAAAACATGATTTTATCCTCATCTTCAGCTAGTTAGCCAATCCTCTATCCATGCCCCTATCAGCATGGTCTCTCATCTTATTTAGAAGCCTCATGTATGGCACCACGTCAAAGGCCTTCTGGAAATCCAAATAGTTCACGTACACTGGCTCTGCTTTGTCTAACTTGCTCATTACCTCCTCAGAGTTCTAACAGACACGTTAGGCATGACCTTCGCTTGATGAAGTGGTGCTGTTACAGCCCTATTTTACTATGCACTTCCAAGTACTCTGCAATCTCATCCTTAGTAATGGACTCTAAAATCTTACCATCAGTTCTGAGGAAGGGTCACCAGACCTGAAACATTAATTCTGTTTCTTCCTTCACAGATGCTGCCAGACCTGCTGAGCTTCTCTAGCAACTTTGTTTTTGTTCCTGATTTACAGCATCCGCAGTTCTTTCGGTTTTTATCTAAAATCTTACCAATGACCAAGGTCAGGCTAACTGGCCTATTGTTTCCTGTCTTTTACCTCCCTCCGTCCTGAAACAGGGATGTTACATTAGCCATTTTCCAGTCCTCTGAGACACTCACTGACCCCAGTGATACACTACAGATCACCAACAACACATCCACAATAGCCTCAGCTGTCTCCTTTGGAACTGTGGTGTAGGCAATCTGGTCCATGTTATTTATCCACCTTCAAACCTTTCAGATTCCCTAGCACCTTGAGGTTGGTTGGCTCGCTGAGCTGGTTTCTTGTATCGCAGACATTTCGTTACCATGCTGGATAACATCCTTGGTGCCTAGCACCTTCTCTGTAGTAAACTCAACATTCTACCTGGCCCCAGAAAAATTTCAATCCATGTCCATCCAGTCTACCACCCAAAACTACCAACATCTACCTAAAAGTATAGCACATTCTCACTCTCCCGCAGATTAACTGGTGTTGTATCCCTTGTTCATGTCCTTGTTCATGTCCTTGTTATCTCTAGATATGACTTGACTATTCCAATGTTCTCCTGGCTGGCCTCCCACTCTGCATAAACTTGAGAACATTTATAGTTCTGCTACTTTTATCCTATCATACCAGGATCCATTTATCCAGCACCACAATACCCACAAACGTACACTGGCATCATTTTTACAAGCTTCAATATTGTTTTCACATCCTTCCACGGTTCAGCCCCTAGCAAACTCAGTAACCTCTGATAGTCTTACAACAATCATCATCCATCACAGCCTCTCTTTCACCCCCTCACCCCACCTACCATAAGATATCTGCTCTTCTCCAATTCTGGCCTCTTTCACACCCTACTTGGATTAGATACAAGTTAATGTAATATATAATTGATGAATTGAAACTAATTTTTTCATAATTTTTATCACAGACTGAGATAACCAAGTATATATCAATGTCTCAATAATATTTCATGAATCTGTGAACAACAGGGAAATAAATTTCAAAAGTATGCTTGAATTGGCTGGAGTAGAAAGAAGTTAAAGAAGAAGTCAAGAACATTTCCCCAACAATTAAAGAAACTCCTATTAACAATATGTAACAAGATCATTCATTTAACTCATTAGGAGGTCCTGATATGCTGGGTCAAACATGACAAAAACTACCAAAACTGGTGGCAAATGTATGTTTACTCCAGTATTAAAGTTGGCAAGTCAATGGAAAATGGAGGAATTAGGGAGATAAAAGAGCACCCATTTCTTGAGCAAGACATCTATTTTCAAAAGATCTAGAGTTGCCTGCAGGTTACTCTAACTTCAGACCATGACCCATGTGTAGATGATTGAAACAAAACTGGGGTAACATTTTCATGAGCATTTACCTTGCCTGTTTTTTGAAGAAACCGATCTGGATTTCTTGAATCATTTACAAGACTGCAATGTTTTCCTTGTTTCGAAGTTTGCATTCTAGTAGCACCCTTCTCAACCGTCTGTGTTCCACTACAACGAGCAGCTATAAAATCAATGTTTTTAGAATTACAATTTCATATAAATAGGAATGTTTCACTTTGTTCTTTCATGAAATAAAAGTAAGTCATTGATCAATTTTTGCTTGCTTTCCACATTTGAGTTAAAGTTATACCTAATTTTCAAATAAAAGAATAAATTAATGAGTATTGGAGGCCTGAAGGCGATACCACAAAAACCCGAAAATTCTAACCATTTCCCAACCAAGTAACTTTCAACATACTGTTGATGATATGGTTCAACCAAGCAAACAGTAATTCGAATCCTGCTTGACAAAGCAATGAACAATAATTCAGTTTGTACACTGCTCACACATGATCCCGTTGGTATATAAAGTGAAAACCAAGGGAGCAACTTAAGGATTTATAAGCGGTAACAACTGCAATTGCACACAACCAGGTGTGGAATCTTGGAATCCTTACAGTGCAGAAAAAGGCCATTTGCCCCATCGAGTTAGCGCAAACCCTCCTAAGAACATCCTACACAGACCCAGAACCCCTGCCAATCCCTGAAACCCCAACCTATCCCAGTAACCCTGCCCTATCCCTGTAACACCGCATTTCCCATGGCCAATCCACCTAACCTGCACATCTTTGGACTGTGGGAGGAAACCAAAGCATCCAGAAGAAACCTATGGCAGACTCAGGAGAATGCGCAAACTCCACACAGACAGTCACCCAAGGCTGGAACCGAACCACGGGCCCTGATATTGTGAGGCAGCAGTGCTGACCACTGTGCCTCTGTGTTGCCCTTGAATACAAAATAACAGGTAAAATGGATATCTGAGGTATATGAAAAAAATAATTCTGTCACAGTTCAGTGCATAGAATCATTATCTATCGCATATGATATACGATAAATGGAATGCCCTGGGGAAAATTGATGCAGAGAGATCTGGGTGTTCAGGTCCATTGTACCCTGAAGGTGGCAACGCAGGTCAATAGAGTGGTCAAGAAGGCATACGGCATGCTTTCATTCATCGAACGGGATATTGAGTACAAGAGTTGGCAGCTCATGTTACAGTTGTACAGGACTTCGGTTCGACCACAATTGGAATACTGTGTATAGTTCTGGTCGCCACATTACCAAAAGGATGTGGATACTTTGTAGAGGGTGCGGAGGAGGTTCACCAGGATGTTGCCTGGTATGGAGGGCGCTAGTTATGAAGAGAGGTTGAGTAGATTAGGATTATTTACATTAGAAAGACGGAGGTTGAGGGGGAGACCTGATTGAGGTCTACAAAATCATGAGAGGTATAGACAGGGTGGATAGCAAGAAGCTTTTTTCCCCAGAGTGGGGGACTCAATTACTAGGGGTCACGATTTCAAGGTGAGAGGGGAAAAGTTTAAGGGAGATATGCGTGGAAAGTTCTTTACAGAGAGGGTGGTGGGTGCCTGGAACGCGTTGCCAGCGGAGGTGGTAGAGGCGGGCACGATAGCGTCACTTAAGATGTATCTAGACAGATACATGAAAGGGAGCAGAGGGATACAGATCCTTGGAAAATAGGCGACTGGTTGAGATAGAGGATCTGGATCGGCGCAGGCTTGGAGGGCCGAAGGGCCTGTTCCTGTGCTGTAATTTTCTTTGTTCTTTGTTCTATGGTGCTGTGTGAACATAGCTTTTGGATTTTGTCAACTTGCATGATAAAGCTATGTAATTTAATCAATCCCAAGTGAGGGAGAAATGAAAGTTGATTTTCCAGATAGCCAAACAATAAAAAGAATCATAGCTTTTCACTACAAAAACTAATGGATGATTTAAACAATTTGAAAGAATTCAGGATTTGAAAGATGGTCACGCAGAGCATTGATGAAACTCAAGTTTTTAGAAAGCTAAAGCTTGCCAAATAACTCAACCTGAGAAAGCTTTAAAGGGACAGTAACAAGTCCATCACTCGGGTCTGTTAACAATAGACCAAAATGTATTTTCAAACACAGTAAGACTAGATTTTTCTGTTGTGCTGCTGTTAAACACAGAAGAGGTGAAGAGTGATTGCAAATGAGAGAATAACACTCTACAATATTGTGCACTAACCAAATGGGCTGGATTAGGAATGCCATTAAAGGTTCTTTTTCGATTCAAAAGTTTGAGTCTGGTCAAAAACCCTACCTGTAACTAATATTCAGCTGAAGAGGAGTAACTAAAACAGTACCTAGGATTTGAAGGTACCACGTTCTAAATATGTGGTGTGGCCGATCATCCAACTTACATGAGTTTGAGTTACACTGCAACTGTAAATAAAGGTTTATTTTTCCAAATGATTTCGTATCAAGCTGAGACATGAACTTTAGAGCCGTTTCTGAGGCAACATTTGACAAAACAACTTTCAAGTGCTCTTTAACTTCAGAGGCAGACATAGATGATTACATCCACTGCCTTTTTACTGTTTATACTGGAAGTTGAACAAAAACTATGGTTCACCAGAAATATTTATGCAGCTGTGGTATTTATTTATCCATATCAAAAACACTTGCTCACAGCCTCTGGGTAAAATGCTTCTTTCTTTCCAAAATCCTTTACTCATCTTCCCCACTTCTGGACCCACACCAAAGAATTCCCCACCAACCTGTACGAAGAACATGACCCCTGCTTCAGTATAGATAATTGTCTGGAAGTTCTGCTCTAATTATATTATACTGTGGATTTCAGCATGTAAATTTATTGCACTTCCAACATGACACAGCGGCATCATGCATTTTTTCCTACCAAATATTATGAAACTGATGGTCTTAAATTTTGCATTCATAAAACAAATCACTAGTAGAAAATGGGTACAGTACTGTACTTATAAAGAAACTGCCAGCATTGGTGAAGCTCAATACTACAGAGATCATAAACAAGTAGTCAGTTATCAGTATCAATGGTGGGGGAGCAAAAAATCCCACAGTTGAGGGAAAAAAATTAAATTCGTCTAGTCATTATCCATTTATCAGGAAATTAAACATGCTTATGTAAATTAATTTGGTAACAAAAGAAAATTATAAAATGCTGAAGAAAACCTAACCACACAATTTCATTTTCCATATTTCAGAAAGGTACCAAATATCTGTTCTATCAGAAGTCTGCGTTTATAGGAAATGAAAAACTGAAATTAGCATAAAAATAAGATCAACTTGTACTTATACAGCATCTACATATGTTAAAAAAAAGTGCCAAGGTTTTTCACCAGAGCGTCCTAAAGCAAAATTGGACACGAAGCCACAAGAGGTGATATCAGAACAGATAACCTAACAAAAGCACCGTCAAATACATGAGGAGTATCTTAAAAAACGAAAGACAGAAACCAAGACAGAGATGCTTGGTGACAGAATTCCACAACATAGACACTAGGCAGCTGAAGGTTCAGCCACCCAGCAAAGCAGTAAATAGAAGCAGGCTATACAGCCCTGAAGTTTCCTTCACTATTCAATGCAATCAGAAAGATCTTTGACCTCCACTCTGCTTTCCAGCCCAATCCCAATATCCTTTAATTCCTTTTGTATAAAAACAACTATTAATCTCAGCTTTGAATATATTCATTAACTAAGTATCCAGAGCCTCCTGGAACACAGAGTTCCAAAGATTCACAATCCTGAGTGAAGAAACGTCTCCACTACCTAAATCGCCATATTCTAATCCTAAAACTACAATCCCCTGATTCTAGACTTTCCTATCAGGCTTAGAGCTACATTGTATTTGCCTTCAAATGCTATCTCACAATCTCAAACTTTTCAACGAGATCACATCTTTGTCATCCGAACTCCAGAGAGCCACAGGCTCATTCTACTTAATCTTATCTTTTAGGACAACCTTCTCATTCAAGGTAACGATCTCGAGAACTTTCAGCATTGCATCCCTACAAAGGTAAGCAACCTCTTTAGGTACAGAGACCAAAGCTGTACATCGTAATCAAGGCATGGTTCCATCATAGCCTTCCATAATTGCAGCAAGACTTCCATATCTAGTATTTCAATAAAGGAAACTATATCATGTGTATTCTTAAGTGCCTGCTAGGCCTGCACCTTAACATTGTGGTTCCCTGACTGGAGAGTCTAGAAAAAGGGGCAGTAGTTTTAGGAAAAGGAGCTGGTCATTCAACCTGAGATTAGACCTAACTTCTCTCAGAAAATTGTGCATCTTTAGAATTCGCTACCAAAAAGGGCTGTGGATGTTAATTTGGTGATGTAGATAGATTTCAGATCCAAAATGACATCCAAATAAACCTTGGTGAATGGCCTATTCCTGTTCCTATCACTATGTTAATATATTATTATGATAAACTTCAGAAAGGATGGAGGGAATATTCCAATAAATAAGTGCACTTTGTTGAAAGCTAACATACGCAGCACAAATAACTTCATAATATTACTGTATCATAAATGTTTTTTCAAGTCTGGCGCGAGCCAGAGTGCCGACGGGAAGGTAAGGCAGTTTTTGTTTCTCCCTGTATAAAAACTTACCTCGTGCAGCAAGCGGCCCTCTTGTTTTCAGCGGCGGGTGTGTGGACGGAACGCCAGCCAGGAAGAAACAGATAAATTCGGGCATTGGCTAAAGCCGAAACACTACATGTGTAGTGTCTCCCCTGCCATCCTCCTCCTCTAACCAAAAAAGACTGTGTGGAAGTTCGGTAAGGTAAGGCTTTTTTTTTATTCTTCTTCTGGAAATCTAGAGTAAAGGAAATGGAAGCTAGGGCAGTTGCATGCTCCTCTTGCAGGATGTGGGAGGTAAGGGTCACTGCTGGTGACCCCTCTGACTTCACCTGCGAGAACTGCACCCAACTCCAGCTCCTCAAAAACCGTGTTAGGGAACTGGAGCTGGAGCTGGATGAACTCCGGACCATTTGGGAGGCTGAGGGGGTGACAGAGAGGAGTTATAAGGAGGTGGTCACACCCAAGGTACAGGAAAAAGGTAGCTGGGTGACTGTCAGGAAGGGAAGAGGGAATAGGCAGACAGTGCAGGGATACCCTGTGGCCGTTCCCCTCAATAATAAGTATACCGTTTTGGATA